CAGTGGAAAAAGCACAAAGCCACATTAGAAATCTTCCTGACTTTTCCAAATTTGATTGTCAACATTTAACCAGCTGTAAAGATAGCGTGTATGTCATAATCTTCACCCTTTCGATCTGAACTGACTATAAAACACTCACTTTAATTTAAAACATAAACAAATCTCTTATCTATCTCTCCTATTTTTTAAGTTCAATGCAAACATAACTTAATAACTAATATAGCAATAAAACTGCTGCAGGAAGAAATTTATAGTACATTAATCTCTAGATTCTGTATTTGGACTGGAAATGATTACATGATAATGGAGTAAATGCTTTGCTAAGTGAATACAAACTTAAATACTGTATATATCAAATGTAGACATGCTGAAGAATAAATCTGCAGTACATTAATTTACAGAAATAACTTTCTTAAATGAAACCTTCTGAAATAATAAGTCCAGGGAAGTGAGCAGGCCATTATTAAAGGGCAAGAAGTAAAAAATGTGAATCTATTAACTAAGCGACAGCAAATTTTTCCATTGATAACTGAAGAAATACCTACAGCCTTCAAAGTTTCCTTCTACCAAGTATGAATCAAATCTTTATGCAGACTGGAGATACTTCTCTATCCATTAATGAAAATAGCCCAAATTGTGGGATTACCTGAGCAAAGATGACTACAGATTCTGTAGATATATTTCTTCCACAAGGAAGGAGAGGGAACACAAAAGAGCATGCCAGGACGGTTCTGTTCAGTCACCACGTCACCCACTCATCACGTAGGGACCTGAAAACATACAGTGGTTCACATATACACATTCTACTCCTACACTCACAACCCCCTTTTTAAAAGTCAGATGCTACATAAGACTTAGGCTACAATGCATCATTCATCTCTTTATGAGAGAATACGTGTAACTGTATTAAGAACAAATGTGGTTCTGCATGCAAAGTCCTAGTAACCAGCTGTACACAAAAGGAAGTCATCAGAGGTCAAGCAGAAGTGAAATCCTTCCCACCCACTTTACTGTAAAGCAGTACTAGCATTTAATCATGGCCCAAGTCAACCAGAACCGTCAGAGTCTTAGGAAGAATTTGAGTAAGGAAGCCACTAAAAAAATGTCTTGTGCCCCTTTCTGTCTTTATTCTAAAAAACACTTAGATGCTAATCTAACTGGACAAAAATAAATAAATATAGTATGTGTGACCCCACCACTCTTACCCTTTTCCCATTCCAGTGATCTTTGGTTAGAATTAAACCAGGCTCAACTGCTGAAAAGATCAACTCTGTAGAACTGAAATAGGGGAAAAAATAGGTTATTCCAAAATTAGAATTGATGGTGGTCCATGGAAAGAAATTGCAAGATAAAATGGTGTATTGGGTTTTGTGTGGCAAGGTTGTGGCAGCAGGAGGGCTCTCATTATCATACTCTGATGTGATTGATAATAAAGTAAATTTTTCCCCAAGCCAAGTATGTTATGCCCATGATGGTAACTCGGGAGTGATCTCTCACTGTCCTTATGTTGACCTGTGAGCTTTTCGTTATATTTTCTTTTCCCTGTCCAACTGAGTGTGAGTGACACACTGGCTTTGGTGGGCACTTGGAGTCTAACCAGGGTCAAAGCACCACAGATATATTTCTTAGCGCAATATCATGCCTTTCTTTAAGGTACCCTGAAACAGAGCAGAAAACTTCCTCTTTCTCAGTGATATAGACGGCTTTGCCCTTGGCTGAGATTTAAACATTTTTGCTAATTCTCATACTGGGAAAGACAAATATACATATAACTTAAAATTAAGTTGTACTGTTTTGTCCTCCAAGAAGGCATATCTGCGCAAAATGAATGTAAAAAACTGTTCTGATTTTGAATTTTAGACACCCTCACTGAAAAGCTGCGAATAATGAGGTTGTGCCAGCTTACAAGAATAAGGCCTCCCTTCAACATGTTAGTGGGTTATATTTAAGTGGATTAAACATTGCTTCAATCAGCCTTTCCCAAGTTCTCATTCTGAAATTTGAACTGTGCCATTCACGTCATTTCAGCTATGTAACACCAAGTACAGCAACCTATTTTTATAAAACTAGACCTTTGTGACTAATGGCCAAAAGAAAACAAGACACTCACTTCCACTAAGTATGTTGCAGGAAGACAGACAGGGTTGTACCAGCTGCTAAATAGTGTTTCCCAATTTGAGGAAACAGCTGGGAGATTGTCAGACAGGTTTGAGAGGCACAGAACAGACAAGAGGAGCAAGAAAGGTGAGGAAACATCATGACTCCGACTCCACCCAAACCACAAGCCACCCACATTCATTCTCCAGTAGTTAACAGATGAAATAGGGATTAATTTACTTGCTTCCCTCTGCTTTCCTGACATGCCCTATATCAGTGATCTATGGCTGCAACTCCTACACAGGTTCAGTAAATACCCAGCCAAACCACCTGCACCTACATGAACCTCAGGAGATCTCCAAGAGCACAATAGTCCAGCTGCAAGGGGCATCTTTGCCTAGGCACATAGCGAATAGAAGACCAAGAAAAGAGAAAAATCCCCAAAGCAACAGCTAGTGAGTTGAAAAATAGACTCACTCCGTCTCAGATACATGCACAAATAGAGGAATGAAAAGGTGCCAGTGAAATAAGAGCATGAAGAGGGAAGATATAAAGAGCAAGAACGTAGAAATTTGCGAAAAAAGATACAGAAAGAAACAAACCTCCCCTTCCCACCCCAGCAACCTGTCAAGAAGGGCTTTTAGCAGCTTAGCTTTGGAAGAAAAGTGTAATAAGATTGCAAAGCTTAGAATTGTGAACCCTCAAGGGTTATTACAGTCTTTGGTTAGTTTTCTGAGAGAGAAGTAAAAAACAGAGAGAAATATTAACATCCTAATCACATGCCAGTGCTGGTATACATATGAATAACTGAAACCAAACCTATATTCTGTACTCCTCTTTTTCCAGATGCTTCTAAGTGTACCGTCACAATCCCTGGAGCAGGAAGTGTGCTGTTATCCCTTTGACAGTGCACGCATATTTCTTTTCTGATTTTTTTTTTTTAATGCTACATTCAGAAAGCTATTATCCTAAGTAATCAGAGAAGAGAGCTGAACATGACAAATAGACACTCCCTTTTTTGTCCAAATTTTTACAAAAATTGCTATTATTTCTGTATTAGTAATTGTCTTGGTTTGCATTCTTGAAAGAAAAATCTTGTGCAAAAATCATGTACTGCACTCATAGTTAACTTCTTTTAACACACAGCAGACTTAAGCAATCAGAAGTTAGAAAGAATAATTTGTACTAACTTGCTGTGAACCATTTATGGATTCCTCCTGAACTCATCAAGTCAGCACAGAGCTATTCTGTAGGTAAATTCATAGATGATGTGCTTTACCTAAGCCCACAGCGCAAAGGATCGAATAGCGTAGTTATAGGTTCTCTTGCTAGTTATTTTTCTATTTATTTTCCTCCTCCCCCTTTGTTCAGCCTATTTCCAAGAGCTAATTGGTTTTGGAAAATAATTCCTAGAAATATAACTTGCACATATTTGCAGTTTCAGAAGTGATTCCTGGTATTATCCTCTCAGGTGGGAGGAAATGAGTGATAGGGATATTAAGGGCTCTTCAAGGTATCCAAGTAATTTTGAAAATATCTAAGCCAAACACAACTACTTGTCAAGGACTTAGCACCCAAATAGTTCATATTACAGACTCTTCAAAATGATCCTCTGTCCATTTCAAGTCACAAGGTCCGCACTGATTTAAGCTGTGCAGGATCAATCCCGCTAGGCTAAAGCATATGCCAAAAATCTGTGAGAAACTAATAGGCAGGACATTTGACAGCAACACTTAATTACCTGAACAAATGTGGGGATTTACCTGACATGAATCGGTTACCCCTTCTGAATGGGCTTTCCTGATAAACCCTCCAATATGTATCAACTGCAGTCCCTGTGAATTTTAGTTCTAAACAACACTCTCAGCCACATTTGCATGTACCCTCACAGCCTTGCCACACAGTGCCAACATCTTGTAATTTCCTATACTGCCAAATTGCTTTTCATAAACTAGGGTAGGGCTAATTTAGCGAACTGTCCATCAGAAAGGCTTTGCAGAGTAAGGAGAAGTGGAGGTTTTTACAAAGTAATTTTTCAAACATGCTTTTTTACAAAGTAATTTTTCAAACATTTCAAAAATGCCAAAGAACCAGAAAAAATATTTTAACGAAGAGGACAACATTTATAAAACAAGCCAGTTTTAATGGCATATGGTGGCCAACAGCAACAGTGGCTGAGGATGGGATGGGACACTGCTTTAGAGCAGAGGTGGTTTCTCTCCTAATGACTGTAAGACTACAACGAACACAAACTTGAGTGAGGAATTTGAGACTACAGCCATGAAGCATTATTAGCTTTCATCAGTCCCTCTGTGGCTTATTCATGGTATCTGGACAGATCCCAGAGGCATGGTTTCTCAGCCCTCATTAGGCTTTGCAAAATAAGTCTCCCTTACTCGGAAATGCCTACTTGCAGGGATTCTCTCTTCTCTCTCTTCTTTCAGTGGGTGTTCTGTTTCAACATCCAGGGCTCATACTGGGCCAGATCCTTTTACAGAAGAAGGGCTGAACTACACTCACAGCTTGCCTTAACAGTGAAGGAAAGGCTGCTCATGCCCTTATTATTTATTAGAGCTGAACAGATACACCAACTAAAACCATCTTTATATAATGAAGTTCACATTAAAACACCATGAATAAACTCTACCAGGACCACCTTTGTCACTGTCTGCCCTCACTCTCTTTGATACATGTACTGTGCCAGACTCACTCACCTGCAAACACACAGAATCAGTGACCTGTGAAAATGTTCCTGATCTTTCAAATATAAGCTCTGTTCCCCCAGACCCTAATCAAATGGAAAGATCATTTATGTAATGATCCATCTACAAAATGCTTTTATTTCGAACACAAAAACATGTTCCGCTTTCTGCTCAACACTATCATACCAGCATGAAAGCAAATTTATATAGATGAGCTGGCAAAGAAATAGTCTTTTAAGTGGTTAGTCCAAGGTTTAATTCACTTGGCCTTGCCAGATAAGAGCATTCCCATCTAAATTTGAGGTGCTCAGTCTCCTGACTCAAAAGCTTAAGTGGAGCTCAGCCAGAGTTGACTTGTGTGAACATAGCATCCAAAAATAATTGTTTTGCCTGCTAGAAAAACAGACCCACTGAAGGCAGGAATGCTTTCTGTTTTGAAGAATGGGCATCAGCAATGTACCAGGTGAAACCTTATTTTGGTCAGATGCTGGCTTGTTGCCTTCAAGTAGCACTTTTAAAGTAATTCCTAATAACTCTTCACATTTGGTTTAACAAAGCTTTCAACTTCAAGAGGAGCTTTAATGATTATACTCACTAGAATTGCAAGGCGACTTCAACACCAGCAGTTCTTTTCCATCTTGCTCTTCATGCTTCTCTGACATAATTTCAATCACCAGTTCCATCATCATCATATTTTTCCTTCAGTTAGACTAATTAAAGAAGTATCTTTGGTCCCATGGTGTGCTCACAATAGTAGGTCTTTGCCTAAAGCAACAGAGAACAGATCAGTTAATTGACATTACTGACAGGAACTCTGATCTTTAAAGACTCATAGGAGATTTTTATGAGTTTTTTCATGTGGCAACTTTTTTACTCCCTCAAGATCTGCTGTGAGCTTGTTACCAAATGTTTGAACTTTTTTAGTGTATGCTGGTCTATGTTTATGTAGATAAAGGGCAGACAAACCAAAAAACTATGATGTAGTGGGAGAGTCAGTAGGCAATGACTATAACCACAACCAAGGTTTAGAGTTTTACTTCATGGATGTCTTACAAAACAGGCAAAGCTTTCCAAATCTTTAATACAAAATAGTCAAAATAAAGCAGTAGTACATCCTAAGTGTGCAGTTTTTTGTTCTTTGTAAACCCAATAATAAGGCAGCCAGCTAACATTGTTAAGAAACATAGAATTATGGGTTCTTTTCAATAGTATTCTTTTCAGTACTGCAAAAATAAAAATTAATTATGTAAAGTGGACTTGAAAGGCTACAAATATTACTATTAAGTCTGGGATATTCCACTTTTCTGGTAGCAAAAATTAAGAGTTAGGAATATGCTACGTCTCAGTGGAAAGTTTGATATTAAACGGTTATCATTAGGCAGTACCAAGAAAACCACTTGTTCTCAACATACTTTCCCTTCCATAAACCCAGGAGCCAGAATATTTCCATAGAAAAAAGGAAGAGGAAATAAATGAATTTCTTATAAACTACCAAATATTTTTGGTCAGACCTCAATTATTTTCAAAACCTTAATGGGGTGGTAGCAGTTCTGTTTCAAATGAGGAAGATTTCCAAGCTGCACACATCAGATTGGGGTCTGACTTCCTCAGAACACAGGGATGGTGCGATCCTAGGCCGACTCAGTTTACTGTAGAAATAGAAAGCATATGCAAAGATTTATGAACATAATCAAGGAACACAGGTGTTTGTTTTGGAGTTTCATCTGCACTCTTTTCCTAGACAACTTCTAATTTGCCTGTTTCAAAACCACTGACTGGGCAAAGGCTGGCTTGTTCAGCCATGATTTCTCCTTTTCTATGAAGCCTAGATTTTACACAACATATCTAGAATCATCTAGTTCCCAGCGCTGAAACCTCCTGCAGTTCCCAGAAAAATTATATTTCTCATTGTTCTCTGATGTTGAATAGCTAGATTACTGCTGAACTCATTCATCAACCTACCTTAGATTTTAATATGAAGACCCACCTGTGTTACTACTGAAATCCATGGTACAACTCTCATTGATGGACATTGCTGGTTACCAAGGACTATACAGTAGAGATAGCAGAAATGCTTTAGAATCATTAGGAGCTTTGTACACATACATTTATATAATGTATAGCATTAATTTCTTATTAGTGGTAGATATGAGTAGATATTGCCATGATCAGAGCCATTGAATCAGTAATAATGATGAATAAATCGCTAACATAGAACTTAATTCAGGAAGTAATACAGAATTCTTACAAGCAGTCTGTGAATTATTCAAATGCACACTGGTATATCAAAAACAAAGGCTTCGTAACATTGGCCAAATATTCTGAATTCAGGTTGTCTTACATTTTGGCCAAATCAACCACATGGTGCCTTGACTGAATGAGCATGCTAAAAGCCTTTCCTATAAATCTTCCACAGACAAACAGAATCATGGAATCATTTAGATTGGAAAAGATTGAGTCCAACTGTTAACTCAGCATTGCCAAGTCCTCACTTCCCTCAGCCATTCGTTGTAAGACCTGTGCTCTACACCCTTCACCAGCTTTGTTGCCTTTTTTGGGACACACTCCAGCATGTCAATCTCTTTCTTGCAGTGAGGGGCACAAAACTGAATACAGCATTCAAGGTGCAGCCTCACCAGTGCCTAATTATTGGAATGAACTCCCTTTTTTCTCTAAGTCTGGTATCAATCTTCAGAATTTTCCTCTTTGCTATTTTACTATTCCAGTCCTTTGCAGACTGGATTCTGGTTTGGTTTTTGTGGTTGTTTTTGTTTGGTTTGGTTTTGGTTTTTTTATGTATGTGTGTGTTTTGTTTTTGGTTTTTATTTCTTGGACAGACTTTAAATAAGGTTAATTACTGTAATTCAAAAATTTCTCTTACCTTACTGCATGATGCATGACAGGAGGAAGTGGGAGGTGCCCCAGAACTGCCAATCTTCATTATTCCCTCTCCTTTGTTTCCTTACCAGTTCTGTAATCAACGATAAAATCCCTATTGAGAACCTTTTTTTATGCTGTTTACAAGTCTGCCTATAGTTTGTCTGAAGTTCTGGCTCAAACAGCTAATTAGAGATCTTTAATAGTCTCCTATACCATTTAGTTAGGTGATCCCTAATCAGCTTTGCTCATTTGAGTTGTCCCCCACATGCTTGATTCCGACAAAACTGAGGGTTTATTAGGCTGGTTAGCTTCTTTACCTTCCTTTTCAGTTGGTCTTGATAATTTGATCACATAGTCAAAATACGATTACTCTGCAGGCAAGAACTGCAAACTTTCCACATCGTATATTGTCCAAAAAAAAATGGCATACTTAGAAATAGTCTTTAAAGAACTTTTTAGAAAGGAATTTTTCCTAAAATTAAACTGTGAAAGGCAACAAAATATTTGGAAAACAAACAAGAAAATTCTTGTTATGAACTCATTTTCAGTTTAGATAGCATGAATGGCTTTCAAATTATTAATGTTATACTTTCATCAAAACTGACTCTAAGAGGAAAACTGGTCTAAAACTGGACTTCAGTGGAACTTCTTAGTTTCTTATACATGTTTTTGGAGAAAGACCGTTTTTACCAGAATTATATATACAAGAAAAAACAATTAAAGATATCAGCACAATTTTCTAGTCAGGTTTAATTTTTCTTATTAATTATCAGTATGAAATAGATTACATTTGAAATTTAGTTTTCAAAACAGATAAAGAAGAACAACTCTCCCATTTCATTGAAATAAGCTTCTAGAATCTCAAAGAACATGAGTTGAAAATTTAGAGCAATTGCTCTGCATAATTTCTGCACCAAGAAATGAGATTAAACCACTACTGAAACATTCACTATCCTTTATTTGCTAGACAAGGACAAACCTTTTAGACAAGTGACTTCATCTATGAAGATTACTGACAAAGGATGTTAAAAGGTCATTCTAAATGGTGTCCCTTTGGGGCATTTGGGCTTGAGCGGTCCTGTCCACAACTTATTTGCCATGGTCCACTGCATTTAGGTGTATATGAAAAGAGCTTTGTGCAGAAAACATAGAGACATCTCTGCATGACGTTGTTTTACTTTTTTTCAGGGATTCTGGACAGACCTCATCTTTATGGCAAAGGTCAAATGGGAAACATCTTGAAAAGAGCTACTGAAGCAACAAGGGAATGTGAATCTTTGTGCTCTTCTGCTCTCAGCCATGAATCTACTGTACCTTATGAATAAGTTCATGGTTCTTTGTTCCTTTGAGACTATTTGTTAAAAAATAAGCCTAATAAGCCTTTGAAAGCCTTCTTTACTTTCAGTTTCAATCGTATCATTAAGGTGAGGAGGTGGAAGCACACTTAAAATGTTTTCACTGGAGTCACCTTTGTTAGTTGAGGGGAATGATCTGTATTTAAAAGAGATGAAATATAGGTCAATGAAACATAATCACAGAGAATGCATTGGTATTTGAAAATGACAGTTGTATTGAAAAATATCTTCTTGAGTTACATTTTTTTTTTAGAAATCCAACAGTTCAAGAAGCTTGATCATCTGTGAAGCTTATAATACTATATTTCTACTCTCTTTTAACATCCAAGAAAAACAGAAAAAGAGACAAATCATTCCAAGTGTGCCCAGAATCACAAGTTTTATGAGAACATTACATTGTTTTTTCTAGTTTAAGATCTTACTGATTGTCTCGATATGCCCTCATATCAATTCTGTTTCAGAAGAATCAGTTGTTTTTCTATTATAAGAGCTGTTACAATTCTGCTATCGATTTCAGAAGAAACCCTTCAAACCTTACTGAGATAAGCAAGTAATAACATGTCACACCCAAAGCATTATCACATTTATAGCACACATGATGTTATTAAAGATACCCAAACAAGATCAGTTATGAAAACAAGAAAACAAGCAGCATTTCCATCCCCAGCCTGCCTGAAATGTTAAAGGTAAGAAATGTAAGCACTTTAAATAGAAGAAAGCTGCTGTTGTGCTGATATGCCCAAGGATAAGGACATTTTGCAGCACATTAGAGAGGACAATCTCTCAGACAGAGGCTGTGGAAAGGATTTCTAGCTGACAGACTCTGTCCTCCCCTGGCCAAGTATCACTAGGCTGGTTATCAGCTAGAGCTTAATTTGAAGGTTTAAACAGAAACAGCACAACGTTTTTGTGCCAAATAATGAATAGATATCGAAACTTCTGTATTAAAGGGAAAGATTTCTTTTGAAATCACATTTCTTTAACTTTCAAACAAAATATTGGTATCACATGAAGAACAAGTGGCCATTTGAAAAATAGGAGATAGGCCTTTATGTAATTTACATAATGTTAAATTTTGATACACAGTGGTACTTATGATTTCCATTTTGTAATGCAAAAAGAATACTGATTTCCTTGATATGATGTCAGATTAAGCTCTATGAAATTTACTATTTCTATAAATATGTCAAGAAAATGACCTCATCTCAAAAATCAGACTGAAAAACTGTGATCTTCTGGCTTTTAAAAATCTACATGTGGCAATAACTCAAAATCTTTTTTCCATGTGAAAAACAGGACATGCCTATTTAGTGTAACACGACCATAATGTCGTCTAACAGAAGTCCACAGAACACATGAAATATTTGTCTTACAGTCCCTAGGTGAACACATTATCATTTTCTTCCTATCACTCAGCACTGAGCATGTTAGATGACAACCTATAATAGAATTTAATATAAATTCATCTCCAGTCAATACTGGAATAAAGACTGAGATTTTCCTAATGGGACCTGAGTAGCCAAATCCCCTGGGCAGCATGGAAGATCATATCAACCTTAAAATTCAACCAAGCAAAAAATTCAGCCAACATAATTTTAATATGGAAAACCGACATTATCTTCACTACCTTAAAATGAAAATTCTCACATAGATACATACATAAAGTAATTTAAAAGGAATGCTTTTGAGAGAAACATCTTTTCCTCGGGAAGCTTTTTAAAAAGAAATTTTTTCCCCATTCACCTAAAAACACTTCAAGATTTTATATCTTCCTCTCTTTTCTATTTTGCTAATAAAAGGAGAAGGGAAAAGAAACAAAACAAAAAAGTGAAATAATTTCATTATTTTGAATGTTAGTCTTTGTGCTTTGAATAATTCAGCCCTAGTAAAGGCTTAAATGTGAAGAGGACTGGAGACTCTGATAGAGAGCAGGTTAGAAAAGAGGTTTACTGGCTGACTCACCACCTATATCACACCATTTCTGGACACATCAAGAAGCATTAAATAGTATGTTTTTGAAAGCTCTAGCAATGCAGAGGAAACCTGACAGCTTCACATGTGCCCCTGATTTTCTCATTAACATCAGCTTAACCCAAGACAAGTATGCTAAAAAATATGCCCTCCACAGGTCACATTTTATGGGAAAGGGAATTCAGCTCTTCTGTTACAATTTACAGCATCAGTCTGCCTGATGCTGAACCAACACTACCCAGGTAGCAACTCTCATATGCAATTAGTTACAAAAAGATTGCAGGTCCAGGCATTGATTACAGGCACCCATGAGGAACCAAACATCCTTTTCAACTCTTGGATCTAGTCCTTAAAAATAAGCAGGTGATGATAGGACAGTCTCACCTGTTGTTGCATTTTCTTATGCAATGATCAGTCACTTTAACAGAATCCAATTTGATAAACTAACTTTTGTCCTCAACTTTTCTAGTCCAATTAACTTGTAATAACTAAAAATATCAAGACAACTTAAAACCAGTCAAGAATGATCTTTCATGTATACTAACATCTGTTTCCTGGGAAATGAACTGCAATTCTTGAAAATAGCTCTCCAGCTGAATTTGATAGAAGACAAATATAGGTGAAGAAGTGATTTATTTAAAAGTACCAGGGACATGGAACAGTAAGCACATATTGATTTATGTGAATTTAAATGTCACTCTGTACAATACAGCTCCTTCTTATTGAGATGTGCAATAACATCTTACTATCAGTATTTTCATAATGCACAGATGTGGTGGCAGTTGTGACAAATTTTAAATTCTTAATATATTTGCTGTGAAAGAAAGCATCACTGGAAAATTTGTATGTATTTATATTGACTTTTAATGTATAATACACAAACAGTAGTATTTATATTCTATCCCAGCACAGCTACAGGTTAGGCAGAGAAGAAATTCAGAGCAGCCCTGTGGAGAAGGACTTGGGGGTGTTGGTCGATGAGAAAATGAACATGAGCAGGCTTCAGTGTGCACTCGCAGCCCAGAAAGGCAACCGTATCCTGGGCTGCATCAAAAAGAGCGTGACCAGCAGGTCGAAGGAGGTGATCCTGCCCCTCTACTCTGCTCTCGTGAGACCTCACTCGAAGTATCGTGTGCAGTTCTGGTGTCCTCAACATAAAAAGGACATGGAACTTTTGGATCGAGTCCAGAGAAGGGCCATGAGGATGATCAGGGGCCTGGAGCACCTCCCGTATGAAGGCAGGCTGAGAAAGTTGGGGCTGTTCAGCCTGGAGAAGAGAAGGCTGTGTGGAGACCTCATAGCAGCCTTCCAGTATCTGAAGGGTACCTGTAAGGACGCCTGGGAGGGACTCTTCATTAGGGACTGTAGTGATAGGACAAGGGGTAACAGGTTCAAACTTAAACAGGGGAAGTTTAGATTGGATAGAAGGAGGAAATTCTTTCCTGTTAGGGTGGTGAGGCACTGGAATGGTTTCCCCAGGGAAGCTGTGAATCCTCCATCCCTGGTGGTGTTCAAGGCCAGGTTGGGCAGAGCCTTGGGTGACATGGTTTAGCGTGAGGTGTTCCTGCCCATGGCAGGGGGGTTGAAACTAGATGGTCATAAGGTCCTTTCCAACCCTAACTATTCTATGATTCTATGATTCTATTACAATATAGAAATACATACTATAGTATATTTTGTTAGGACTCCATCTTGAGACTGGAAAAATATGAACACTTAATTGGAGAAATGCTGTCTTCCTATAAGAGCTTACAGTATAAATGTA